TCCCAGCCCGCCTATTGCTCTGCATCATTTAGAGGCGTACCGTGAAGTCAGCCACCATGCCTTGGGACCCTGGAGAAATGGAGATACCACGATCGTTTCAATTGGCGATGTTGAACCCATTCCAGCATCTGCATATACTCATACTGCCAACTACCTAAGTGGTTAACTGTCCACCAGCCTCCGAGGGCTTTTTATAAGCCAATTTAAAATAGTGTCACCCAAATTGCATTGCGCAGGGGTTTTGGTGTGGCATAAGTTTGTCCCATTGGGGACCATGTGCCTTGGATTCATCAAGCAGGCGAGGAGCCAAATCGCGTCCAAGGCGCTAATGAATAGACGCAGACAAAGGCAGACGCCCAGAAAGGGACCGAAGAGCTTTAACTTCGTTTAATGGTCCATGCGATTGTTCTGAATCTGCAATGCCAGCTTGATAGCAGCTTAGGCTAGGGAAGAGCCAAATCGTTGAGTAACCCCTGAATATTTTTCTTATCCACAGCGCGGAGTAACAAGCAGTTTCGCTTTGGTTTAAACACCTCGTCATACCTCGAATGAGACGATTTGGTTTGGGGCCTTCTTTCTGCTTCTTCTTTTTCTTTTTGTCTTTGGCATCACAATCTTTTTTTAACTCCTTTGATTTCACCCCCTTTTGTGTCCTCTCAAATGCCTATTTTCCTTAGACATTAACTCACTTGATCGATCAAGCGCAAGGACACCAGAAGTGTCGAGTTTTGCTTTTAATTGAGTATGTGCATATTTTGGAGGACGTTGGTCTGAGAATGTATTCCGTGGATGGCTTCCTTTTCTTCCCAGGTTGCCACTGCGGCCTGTCAACTTATACACTTGATTTACATGTGCTCTAGTAGCATTACCTGGATGAATGGACATAATGAATCTTACCAGAGAACAATATATGAATCTTAAATTTATCGAGCTGATGGTCCATTTCCAACCGGCCCTCAAAGTCCTTCCAATTTAGTTACGGTCAAAGTACCATAAAACATGCATATCACCCATCTAACGGACAGACTTGTTCCGCATAATACCTCCCAAAACACCTCATAGCGCCCCTATCAACCCTGATAAACTACCCCAATTCATCCAAGCCCCCTCCCCCTCATCTCCGCCGAAATCTCATTGACACTTCGCCGCTTCAGGACCCCCTTTGTCCTCCCTTTCCCGCTCAACATCCCCTCCTACTTCTGTCACCATCCACCTCGGCTATAACCGCAGGGGCTGGTGCTGCCCCCCGACTTACATCCAGATCTAGCGTAACAACTGCCCACCGGCGCGATAAACTCCCAATCCACTTCTCAGAAGTCCGGTACTGGGTCCCAAACTTTATCTCCAGATACGCGGCGAGCTCGCGGCTGCGTGGTGCTAGATAGCGGACGGCGCACAGACGATAGTAGCCGGCAAAGGAGAGAGGGGCATGGTATTGCCTTGGTGTTGATTGGGGAACGAAGATGGGGTAGCTGGCTGTGGTGGCGGTGACATTCAGTGTTGCCGCGATCGGCTCTGGGAGAAGATGAAGGTTCGACTTGCACAAAATTTCACACTTTGTTTCCCAAAATGGATGGGCCTCTCTGAAAAGGACTATGTAGGCCAGCGTGTGTGGATCATTGGCGGCCGTGTTGAGGGTTCCTTGCCATCGCTGTCGCTCTTGCGGTGAACATGTAGTGGTGGTTGCTGGGGCTGGGGATTTCCCACATTTTGAGAAACTTTTATTGTAGTAGTAGTTGCTGCTGCTGCTGTTGAGATTGTGGAGCTTGTCGCAAACGCCGTGCCGGAATGAATGCCCGAAGTATGTTTCCGTATCTTTCAGTTGGTAAGATGCAGACATTGAGTTCAGAGGTTCCTGATGGTCCTGGGGTTGCTGTTGCTGGTCATCGATTCCCTCCTTATTGTTGCGGAGGGCTGGAGGGATGTATTTCCCGGTTGCCATTGTCAGATTATATGCTATTCATGGAGTATTTCACTCTGAGGCGATTATTAGGAGGAGGAATGACGGAGGAGAAGACCAAGCAGGCTCATTTCCTTGAAGAGTTGAAGAGGTGAAGTTAGATTCGTAGCAGTCCAAACTCTTTGGAAGAGAAATAACACGAAAAGGAACTCAGGACGGCGTGGCTGCTGAGCCAACCCTGTATCCTATGGATGGTCCATACTTTACAGAAAATGGATATCGTGGATAGCTGATTATCCATACTCATTCCGGTGGCGATGAGTATATAGTATATTCTGATAGCAACAATGCTGCAGCGATGCAATATAAAATATAAAGCGAGATCGATGCATGCTTACGTCCATTTCTAGCTATAGGGAAACAAAAAGGTGATCTCTAGTAGATGCACCATGAAGGGTCCATTTTGTTCTTAACATGCCATCCTCCTCGAGAACGCCGACTGCCTGGATGAAATTCGTTTTCATAAATATTATCCATGAAAAGACAATACGAGGGCTTTGGCAACTTCAAAGCCTCTAGTCAGTTTCTGCAATATACATTAACCTCGAAGCTGCCGCTATCATCATGAAAATTGCAAAAATGAATGCAGTTTACCTTATTAAAGGGCCATCATGATCTTCGTCGATCTTGGGCTTCTTAGGTTAAGGTTAAAAGTTATTTAGAGTTAGTGTTCGACCAGACTTAATAAATCAGTCAGTTAACACACACAGTCTTCACATCTTCCGCTTTAGTCCTTGCAGAGTTATGTTATAATGTTCCAGAGAGAGAGAGAGATCTTTCACTCTTTCATCAACCTCCTGCAGCAGCGTCTTGCCCAAACACCCATTTAGCATGCTCGGAATAAGTTCCAGTCGTGGCATTCGGAAGTCGAACGGGAGGAATATCTGACAGTTATCGCCTGACCTGACGATCTGCGGAAGCGAGATCTCACATTCTCGTCTCCTTTACGCAGGTATGCATCCCTGCGTACAGTGGGCTCAAGGATAACCAACTTAGCCACCAAAAGGAACCAAAAAAAAAGCTAGGCTACTCTGGCCAGACCAGCTGCGTCCGTTTCCGTTTCTCACCCACAGAATGCACCCACATAAAACAATTTTTTTTGTTTCTTTTTTCTTTGTAGCGCACTTTGAGAAGCTGGGATGCCTCTGTTATTTGTTGGGCCGAGATCAAATCCTTTCAACCTAGGACTCAGAAGGAGCCCAGACCTGGTCAACACATTCACTATTAATGTGCCGACTCTAAAGGTGATTGATCTGTGGGACTTCGATGTTATTGACCCTTTTTGGCATTCAAATTCGATAGTTAACTAGTTCGTTAACTACATCCCATGACATAATCAGCTGGCGAGCGGCTCAGAATCTGTGTTGTGATGGTGCGGAATAGGACAGGGATGACTGGAGATCCTCATGAAGAACTTGTTAGGCCACTGGGTCAACAGAGCTCTCTCACACCAGCGCCATGCTGGTAGTAGAGGGGACGAACCAATCCATACCCCCCAACAGAACTGCAGGGCTGATGCTGACTGTGAAAGCCGGATATGCCCAAATTCAGGCTGCTGGCAGCATCTCCTTCAATGTGCATAAGGAAAAAACCTGCAACAACACCGACATCGATGGTGAAGCATGAGCATCTAGCCCGAGGGACCGCATGAGGCATTATTACTTGGCTTACCTTGCGTGCCGCGGTGCATCCCATCCGCCTCACGCTCTCTTTATAGGTCCAAGATATTGGTTTGGCTATACACTCTGAAGGCTTTGTGAGATGGCCTGGACTTC